GTAGATGTGGTGTAAAGGGGCTAAGGGAGAGGAAGTTAGGATGGCTCCTAGTTATTCTGCTTAGGCACTGGAGGAGACAGTAGTGCCACTACAGAGAAATGGTAGAAGCGAAAGTGAATTAAAGTCACATACAAGTAGAAAGTTTAGATTCGGACACAAAGACAGGAAGAAAGGTGGATGTGTCTATTGACAGTGAGGAAACTAAAGGAAGTTTTACTTGATGGCCTCTATCTTTCCAGTGAAATAAAAAGTTCCGCTAACATTAAGGAGAGAAATGGTGGAAACGGGAAGTTTAGAAAGAGAGGTAAAAGTTTGAAACAGCCTTCAGAGGAAGAGGGAACCCTGAAAATCAAGGTAATTGTTGGAAGTCATAAATTTATTCTGGCCCCAAGATACACAGTTGTATTATTTTCTCCAGCAGCACTCAGCAGCCAAGGTATAGAGGTCAGGTGACTGACCTGACCAAGACTGGAGTACTACAGAAAAATGAAAAGAAAGAGACATCAGAGAATTTATGTCAATGGTAAGAGAATAATTAAAGTAACGAACCATGAGTCTAGGCTGGCTAAGGAAAAAAAATGCTTCCAGAGAGCTGAAAGACTAGTAGAAAATGGAGTGAGGTCACTGAACAAGAAAGAGGACTTAATATGGTCAAAGTGTAGAATTACTGGGAATGAGACAGAAAGCTGGAAAGACTGAAGGCTCTGGTCAAAATATGGGATGTTGCAACAGCCTGACTCACTGCTATTGCACCTAAGAAACACTAGGTTTACTGATTGCTGGACTATCAGGACTTCAAAGCATACCAATTACATAAACTAACATTTGAGGAGAAATTTCCAAAATCAATCCTATGTTCGTCAAATTCAGTTTAGCATACTCTTGTATCACATCCAAAGTAATGCTTCCAACAATAATTCCCTTGATTTGCTACTTACCACTCTATCATATAAGTTCATCAGGCAATGCTCTGTATTTTTTTTAATACAGAGCATTAAAAAAAAAAAATCATGTTTGATATTGTAGTTTTTTTGTTACTTGTTCTAATCTAGTACTTCTATGAATCAATTGATGATGTCCTTTAAAGCAGCAGTCCCCAACCATTTTGGCACCACAGACAGGTGCTCCTATGAGAATCTAATGCCTGATGATCTGAGGGGGAGCTGAGGCGGTGATGCTAGTGCTGGGGAGTGGCTGCAAATACAGATTAAGCTTCACTTCCTTGCCACTCACCTCCTACTGTGTGGCCTGGTTCTTAAGAGGCAGACGATCAGTACCCGTAAGCGGCCTGGGGGTTGGGGAGCCTGTTTTAAAGTGCAAGCTCAACATCTTTTATTCTGGAAGAGCCCTACTTGCTGCCATTCTTGATTAGTCACAAAGGTAGGGAGCTTAAAAAGAAGTTCTGCCCTAGAAGAGCAATAGTATGGAAGCTTCACTTTTCTAATGCTAGCAATAATCTTGAAGGACGCAAGCCAGGAACTAGATAGTGTTCCCAAAAAACCAAGACAACATCCATGAAAAAGGAGTCAAGTGTCCAGGAAAAAAAAAAATACATGACTAACCTGAAATTTTGATTTGTTTGCTGTTGTTCAAAAGTTCAAAGAAAAATGTTGCAGTGGTGGGGGTAGGTACAGGAATTAGCCCAGCAAAGAATAGGGAGAAAGGCATTGCAGGCAGGGGGCCAACCGGGAGAATAGCAACTGAGCTGTGAGGTGGAGCTCAATTCAGGATGTCTACTTTAAATTTTTAATTACATTAAAATACAAAGTGACTATGTCAAAATAGTACAAAGAACTTAGCAGAATTCTATTAAGTTTATCTTTATATAATATCAATGTGAAATTCTCTTAATTTCCTATCCAGTGATTCAATGAATACTTGTCGAATAATTATGAGATATATAGCTCTGAATGAGTCCTGAAAAAGAACACAAAAGAATAAAATTTATTTTTATAATACACGGAAAAAAAGCTTAGCCTTTACAATAAATGGCCAGCAAAGATACACACGAGTGGAAAAAAAAGTAGAGTACAGTATAAAAATAAGTGCTAAATGGGCAGAGAGCTGTAGAGGTGTTCCGAGGAAGGAGAAACTAGTTCAGGAAGAAATGTGAGGAAGATTTCACAAAGGAGGTAGAATTTAAGTTGAAACTTGTAATATGAGTAAAATAGATAAGACATCTTATAAAAGAACTTCAATTTTCCAAGCTAGAACTATGGGAGTTACTAACTTTTCCCTGCACATCTACCAGTATTGCCCCTAGTGCCCTACAAGCATGTTCACATCTTGCCTTTATTCTAACCTAGGCCCTGACAGATTGGTCTCCTAAAGGATTCTCTACACTACTCCAATCCATTTTTCAACTGCCAAAAAGTCCTCCATCCAAAATGCAGATCTCATCTTTTGTTACTTCTCCTCTCTTAAAATCCTTCAATATATCTTACTATAAGGGGAAAAACCCGTAAGCTCCCTAAGTTTGTATATGAGCCTTTTGTGATCTGGCTTCTGACTACTTTGCTAGCCTCATTCCTCTCCACCTCACAGCTCAGTTGCTATTCTCCCTGTGGGCCCCCTGCCTGCAATGTCTCTTTCCTCTGCCTGGCTAATTCTTCCTAAATCTACCCCACTATTGCAACTTTTTCTTTGAAAGTTTCACACCAAAAAGTTAATAGTACAATGAACATATATGCCCTTCATCTAGATTCACCAGCTGTTACACTTTTGCCACATTTTACTTCTCTCTCTCTCTGACCATCTGAAAATTACAGACGTGAAATTTAACCCTTGAAACTTTAGCAAGTTATTGCTTAAGAGCAACTTCTATATAATCACATAATACCAAAGTCACACCCAAAACATTTAACTGATATTATTACCTAATATGCAGTAGATATTCAAATTTTCCTAATTATTCCAAAATGTCCTTTACAGTTTAACCCAGGATCAAACCAAGGATGATGTATTTGGTGGTCATGTTCCCCCTTATCTTTTAAAAGGACTCAATTTTGGAACCATTTCCTCTGGGAAGCCCTTTCTGACTCCCTCTATCCAGTCTAGGTTACATGCTTCTTCTAAATGTTTCATACCACCATTATCATAGTATCATTGTGCTACTTTGTAATTATCTGATTATTCACCTGTCTGCCCTATTAAACAATAAGCTCTTGGAGGGATTTTTATTCTCTAGATCTATATTGTCTGGCTCATAGTAGGTATTCAATAAAGGTTGGCTGAATGAATGAAAGAGCTGTGAACAAAAAATATGACCATTATTTACTGAACTGTGCCCACCCCCAATTCATATGTTGAAGCCCTAAGCCCCAATGTGACTGTATTTGGAGACAAGGCCTTTAAGTAGGTAAGGAAAGTTAAATGATATCATTAAGAAAAAAAAGATAGGGCTCTGATCCAATAGAACTGGTGTCCCTATATGAAGAAGAGAGACAATAGGAGTGTGCATACAAAGGAAAGGCCATGTGAGAACACTGCGAGAAGGAAGTTGTGTCTGTAAGCCAAGAGGAGAGGTCTCACCAGAAACCAGCCTTGCCAGCATCTTGATCTTGAACTTCAAGCCTGTGGAACCGTGAGAAGATAAATTTCTGCTGTTTAAGCCACCCAGTGTGCAGTACTATTATGGCAGCCTGAGCAGAAAATAAAATGACCAGAATCTTTGTACCCACAGTTTCTATGGATAATGGAATGCTAAACAAAACCTATGCTAGAACAAAGATACACACAGAACGCTTCTTCCTCTACTTCTAGAAAAATGAATCCCACATTTAACAGAAAGTATGACAGAAAGCATCATTCTTGACACCCATGACATACCTAAAAAAACCCAGCTGGATCTTTAAGACTACAGCAGTAAATTTGTTAGTATCAATCATCACTTGTAGCTACCCGATCAAATGGTAAGAAGATATCAAACATCAAAAGGAAATCTTTCATGAAGCTTAGAGTAAAATTACAGACTCACCTTCCCAACTTCTGTTCTTTAAATTTTTTTCTGCTAAGCTGTTTACATGTACCTGTCTATGCTTCATCTTTCCCAGATAGACTGTGAAGATGATTAACAAGGGCCATGCTGTTGATGTTGAGTGGTAATGGTGGTAGCTGTTTTGATCGATAATAAAGCCTAGGAGTGTTCTGCTCCTAGTACATTCTTCATAATTGCTAACATATGAATCATCATGGACAACTGAGCAATCATTATCACTAGATTCTCAACAGAAAAAGTGATTGGTCTTGAGGCCCTCTCCCAAACATTCTCAGTCATGTTGCCCTTTGACACTTATCATCTTTCATACTTGTTGCCCTTTGACACTTATCATCTTTTCATACTTGAAGAATGACTCAGCAACTGAGTTTGCTACTTTTCACTTAACTCTGATACAGTAGCAAGCCAAGGTTTGCTTGAAAAACAAAAATGCACTTCAGTAAAATTTAAATAAAATCATCACAGTATTCACAGCTATTTTGATTTCCAAACAGTTCCCATTAAGAAACTTGGAAAATTTTTAAATTTGATTAAATTCTATGACCACTTTGGTCTTGCTACAGTACCCAGAAGAGGATACAGATCCACTAAATAATTCTTCCCAAACAACTTACAATGTTACTGTTTGAAGTTTGCTTTTGGTGCTGAATACCATAACTATAATCAAAGTATTCTCATAGCCTAAACTTTTAAAAAAATCAGGTTATAAAGCAAGTAAAATAGATGTTAGATGCATATCAAAAAAAATTTTTTATATCAAAATCTTGATCAAACTTGAGACCCAACAATTATCTGCTATTATTTCAAAGTATTAATGAATCTCTGAAATTTTCTTTACTGAACCTAACATAGGGTGCTGAAAACCTAAAATCGCTGGGAGGTTTTTATTTGTGCATTTTCAAATAAAAATTAGACTGAAAGAAAAACTAGGAACACAAACAGGACTGGCCCTTATGCACATACATGTACACATCGGGTTTTTATTCTCAACAGCATCATTTACCTTCTGCCCTTCTCACAAAGTTTCTCAATTTCAGCTTTCAGATCCTGTTCCTTCTGCAAAAACTCCTTCTTTTCTTTCTCTATCTTCTTCTTTGTTTCTTCTCGCTTTATTGTTACATCCTGGATAGCCTTTAATATCTCCTGAGTCCCACACAATTACAGTCACACAAAAATAAAGAAGGAAATAGATTAGTTCTTTCAGTCTGAAGGTTATTTTCAACTATTACAAATGAACATACTGACTTTAGTAAATTCAAATTGAATTTAAGAGAATCTTGTTGATGAGTAGCTCCAAAAACTAGAATTTAGATGTAAGAAAGAAAGTTACAAAAAAGCAGATTTCAATGCAACAGGAGAAAGAATTTCTAACAATCACAACTGTTGAAAAATGGAATGTACCACCTTGTGAAGCAGTAAGCTCTCCATTACTGGTGTTCAAATAAAGGCTGAATGAACACCTGCCAAGAAAGGCACTCTTGCACTGGGTAGGAGTTTGTTACTTCCAACAAATATGGTCCTGTTTTGTTTTGATCTGGTTCTACTTTATTATTTGTGAGGTTTTTTTTTTTTTTTTACTATTTAACAAAATTATATTTATATATTTTCATAGTAGGAAGTCGAATAAAAAAGTGATAAAGTTAAGTCACCCCCTAATTCATACCATTTCCACCCACAAAGTAATCAATGTGTTAACTGTTTTGTACTTTCACATCTTTTTCCATTCACACACATATACAGGTATACTTCTATCATGAACTTCATTGCTTTTTGTTTTTTTAAACAAGGTCATTTTATATACATTCTGCATCCTGCTTTTTGTACTTGACATGAATATACTGTCAATAGTTCTAACTCAAAAACAGCTAACATTATGTGTATATAAACAATTTATCCAACCATTCTCTGTTAAGAGTCCATCAGGTTGATTCCAGTTTTTTTATAACTATAAACAATACCGTAATAAAGACTCTAGATGTCTACACTTTCATACAAAAACTTTTACTTCTGCAGAATAGACTCTTAATAATGAGATTACTAAGTCACAGTAAATGTACATTTTAAATTTTAACTGACAATTCCTAATAACTTTTCCAAAAAGGATGTTACAATTCAAACTCCTACCAATGTCTGAAGAGAGTTCATTTTTTCCATACTCTTAACAACTTATTTCATTTTTGCCAATCTCTTGGGGGAGGAGAAATAGTATCTAATATTTGTAATGAGCGTTTCCCTAACTCACATTCTTTACTGTTTTCAGTGTCTCCTCCAACTAGAATAAGCATTCAACAAAGGCAAAGACTGTGTTTTGTTCACCACTAAACCTTCAGAGCCTAAATCAGGAACTCAAAATATATTTGCTAAATGAATGAGTGAATGAATACTAGTGAGGCTGAGCTTCTTTTCATATATTTATTACCCATTTGCTTTTCCTTTTTTGTGAATTACTGTTTATACATTCCGCATCCTGCTTTTTTTACTTGACCTAAACATACTGTCGATAGTTCTAATTCAAGAATGTAACTGTTATAGGCAAAAGAGTAGTCTCCCCTCCTTCAAAATATGTCCACATTCTAATCCCTGGAACCTGTGAATATGTTACCTTCCATGGGAAAAGAGACTTTGCAGATGTGATTAAGGTAAAGATTTTGATATTGAGAAGATAATCCTGGATTATCTGGGTGGGCCCAATCTAATCATAACATGGGTCTTTAAAAATAGAGAACCATTTCTAATTGTGATCAGAGGAAGGTGCGATTAGGGAAAGGTGGTCGGAGATGCCACATTGCTGACTTTGAAGATGGAGAAGAGGGCCACGAGGCAAGGAATGCAAACAGCCTCTAGAAGCTGGAAATGCAGAGTATTCCCTAGAGCTTCCTCCTGCCAATACCTAGATTTTCACCCAATGAAACCCATGTTGGACTTCTGACCTACAGATATGTAAGACAATAAATCTGTGTTGTTTTAAGCCACTAAATTCATGGCAATTTGTTACCACAGCAATAGAGAACTAATATAATAACCTTTCGTGGTTTTTCTCTTGATTGACTTTTACCATGAATTTTTAGGAATCTCAGAATGTCATGGATAATAAACTCTGCATCAGATAGATTACAAATATATTCTCTCATTCTAACATTGATCCTTTTTACTGCTTTTTGCATAATTTGGAATATCAAAAGTTGTTAATTATATGTAGTGAAATTGATTAAATTTGTTTTGACTTCTGGGTTTTCTGCCAGGCTTCAAATGACCTCTTACAACTTGAGGTTTTATAAATATTCTTCTATATAGATTTTCTTCTAATTTAAAATATTTTTCGTTTTTATATGTAGATTTTTAATCTACCTAGAACTGTATTTTTTAATATAATGTGATATGAGTCTAACCAAATGATTTTCTAGGTAGACAGTCAATTACATCACCAAACTATATTAAATAAATAATCCTTTCTTGCTGAACTAAAACAGAAGCGAGAATTTGAACAAGATGCCCTCAAAGGTTCTTTTTACTCTTAAAATTCTGTGATAACCATTAAAAACTTAAATATTGCTTTTCTAATTTTATTAATTTGGAAACAAAATTAAAGTTAGGTTAGGGACTGTGGCTTTACTTATTGACAATTTTAACATAGGCAGAATACCTGGTGATTCTTCATTTCCTCTTCTCTCCTTTGTTGAAGTTGCTTTAATTGCACTTGAAGCTGATTCTCTACTTGCCTCTGCTTATCCAAAACCTCCTGATAACGTTCCTTCAACAGAGTTCTCTCTGTCATCATTTTATCCTATTGATAACAGAAGAAAAGTGTAATTCCCAAATTTAATTGCAAGAAACATTCACCAGGTGCCTGTTCATGACACTGTGCAAAGCTCTACGGCTACAGTGCCTAATACTGCAACTACTACCCATGTGGCTATATAAACTAATTAAAATAAGAAAATTTAAATTCCAGCCTCTCAGCCAATTAGCCACATTCCAAATGCTAAGTAGCTACATGTGACAAGTGGCTACCATATTGGACAGCACAGATATGGAGCATTGCTATCATTACAGGAAGTTCTTTTGTACGACACTGCAGGGACTGGCAACCTATGGCCAAATCCAGCCACAGCTTGTTTTTATAAATACAAGTTTTATAGGAACAGAGTTAACAGCCAATGGCTTACAAGCTGTTTTCACACTACAACAGCAGAGTCGAGAGGTTACAACAGAGCCCATATAGCCCACAAAGCCTAAGATATTTATTAACCAACCCTTTAGACAAAAAGTTTGCCAATCCCTGCTCTAGGGAAGAAGGAGGCATTCATCATCCACAAAGAGAAAGAAGAAAATCGGCAAAAACAAAGAATAGATCATTTACCAAAATGCATCCAGAAATAGGATTTCTTAGTGGTCATTAGCTCTGAAAACGGACAGACCCACAAAGAGGTCTGGGGAACTTACAATTCAGATTGAACAAATTGGCAAGGAGTAGAAGGATCACAATTCAGCTCTGCCTCCCTCATATCAGTAAATCAAGAAAAGCAATGGTTACCTTTCAAAGAGATACTAAAACTTAAAGAGGGTCAATTTAAAACACATTTGGTACATGGTAGCCCAAGTAAAATGTAATGTGAGAACATTAAACTGACTTTTTTCATTAAAAAATAACTATTTTCAAAGAAAAGGTTTTAGAAGTGGATAAGGGAAAACATCAAATTTTGATAATAAAAAATAAGCCCTCAAGATGGGACTTCAGCTTTGGGATAAGCTAGTCCTTAGTCTATGTATGAAAATGTGATTAAGGCTCCCCAAACAGATGACTCCTCAGTATTACATCTTTACAGCGATTCTGAAACTGGGTCTTTGAATGGGCCTAGAGATCTTTGAACACTCTGAAATTGGGGTGTGTGCATTCTTGAGTATGTGTATAAATCTTTTTGAGATGAGAATTCAAAGTTTTCAAAAGATTCTGAAAGAGAACCCTAACCCAAGAAAAGTTAAAGAAAAGTTAAGACCCAATAAATGAAACTAACAGATTAGAGAATTCTTTTTATTTAACCATAGGTCTTTCCCTTTACTTCCTTATGGTATCTTCTCTGCTCATGATGATTCATTAGAAAAACAGGATGAGAAAAAAACAATGGTCTCATGGAAAGAAGTCTTAAGGTACATACTATTATTATAAGTAGATAATTTAAAGGCAAAAAGTAAATTACTTGATTCAATCCATCTCATCTTAACAAGCCAAAGGGCTGTTATATATTGTTTTATCAGTGGCTAATTTCCAAGCACAAGGAGTCACAATTTCAAATGCAGGCAGTGGACAATTACCATGAATGCGTGAAAAGGGTAGCAAATAAAACAGGAGCCAAGTTTCTTGTATTGCCACTACGCCTAACACCTACCTAGTCCTACTGCCTTTTGAAAAGATTGTGGACCACACCACGACCCAAAAGAACCCAGCCAAATAAAACAAAACTTTGGGCCTCTTTTGGCCCAATTGCTTGCCAGTTTCTACTCCTGCCTCGGACTGATACTAAAGTATATTTTTAACTTCTTAATTGGCCCCTTCAATTGCTATATAGTCATCCAAACCACACCTTAGACAAAAATAAATACTCTATGTAAAGTGTTTAGTGTAAGTGGTCAAGAAAAGATTTCTTCCTTCCCTGGAGGTTCCTGTACCTGTTGCAACTGAGGAATGATCCTAGATCTTCAGCATTCATGATATCATATATCAACCATGACAGTTTAAGTACTTACCAGATTCTTTTCAATATCTTGATCTGTGTTTACCTCTGAATCAGCTGTCTTAAAGTCAGTCTATAAAGAAAGAAACAATTATACTCAGAACTGTTCAGTGACATTTTAAAAGGAAAAAATTACTCTAATACATCTACCTAGAAATCTGCCACAAGTAACTAGCAAGCTACCTCTGGCTTCATACCAAGAAAAGCACTGACTGTAGTTCTGACTAATAGACACTGGCATCCATACTGGAGTAAGCATGTATCCCACAAAATAACTTGAACAAGACCCAACAATGAATGGAGAGGCAGCCTCAAGTCTGAGATAAGATTTCGCTTTTTACAACCTATGGTTCCCATCCTTCCTCCTACAACAAAGCACACCAGTCACTAGAAGGCAGGATACACTGTACTTCTAAGATGTAGGTCAGAGAATTAACAAGGATTTCTCCTGCAAAGACCAAGATGGGAAATATGAATGCTAATGATTTACACTCATCAATTACTCAGTGAGAGATAATATGTAGATCATAAAGTTCCTAGTCACCACAATTAGACAATGGCTCCTGGCTTTATTATTTATCAAACATCAGGATGAGGTCATCACATAGCACTATATGGAAATAGTATCGCAGGTGCCAGTAAAAAAACGAGAAGGTAGTTTTCTACCAACCATGAAGAAATGTCTCCTACCCTCAAAAAAAACAAACAAAAAAAGCCCAAATTCCATTTGAATAGTAGAAACTTGATACTTGACCTGTACAGCAATGTTCTGAGAAAGCTTCAGGGAAGAGCTATCCTGATCATCATCCTGATCCACTCTGACTCCTTCAACCCCATTTGCTGGAGGTACTACAGGTCGGAAATCCAAGCCTGTGTCCCTGCTACCTTCCTTTAGGATGGACGCTTGTGGGGATTTCTCTTCAGAGCAATTCCCGGAGGCAAGCTGCTTTGTATGGCACCCTGCCTTAAGAGACCGAGTGACAGGATGGAGGCTCTCCTGGAGGCATGTGTCCCCCTCCTCTCCTGCTGTGTTGGCCACGTCCTTCAAATCAGACTGAGACCCACCGCCAGAAAGACAAAGGGTTGTGGCTATCAAGTTTTCTGCTAAAACCGCCCGGTGCGCTGCTGAAGTGTCACCTGCTGACGGACCAGGATTCTGCTCTGGTTGTTCCAAATGGACATTTCTGTTATTCTCCTTGGTTATCGTTTGGCTACTTACACTCGACAGAGGTGAGTTCTTGTGCTTCTGTGCAGGGTCTTTGGGGCTATCAAAAACATAAGATAAAAGGTTTCTCTCTTCACATCTTAAAGAGGATTAAACATATAATACTTTTAACATAACCACTAAAAGAATAAAACTAGACCATATAAGCCCCCCAAATTATCAGAATGAAAGGGAACTTAGTTTTTATCTAGTAATGTTTACCTCACATGCAGGGAGTATAGCTTGATATTTATAAGAATCTGGGTTCTGAAGACAGTCTATAGTAAATGACCACATGTAATGACTCTCAAGATTCAAAAAAATTTTTAGGCCAATATGAATAACTAAGGAAACAAATGAGATAGTCTAATGCTAGTGAGAATCTTTCATTTAGTTGCATGTGTTAATTTAGTTACACATAATATTTTACTAAAATATTAATTCAGAAATAGTTTTTATTCTACTCTGTTTCACAAAAATAATTTTCACTCAAACTAATTATATATAACTTTGATCAGAACCACTTCTTAGGTTCTTTCAACAGTTTTCCAGAGCATAGCATCTTTACTTCAAGTGGTCTGAAGTACAGACAATTCTGAATTCAAAATTCAAGCTGTCACTAAAAATTCTAACCGAGACAAGTCAGACAACATTGGGATAGTTGTTTTACTGTTTAGCACAGGCTTAACACATTGGTTTTTAAAGAGATCTTTAAAACCTATTTACAATGACATCCAATATTCACAACTGTAAGTATTTCACCCAGGAATAATAACTGAATCTGTGTTAAACTTCTTTATCTTTTTTAAACTGATTTTGTCAACTCGTTAAGCATGGCAAACTAGCACTGACTGAGGCTTCAGGTCACTGTGCCTTTCTTTCCTCAATAACACCTATTCAAAATATAACAACTGAGATAGCATCCTGTGAAAAAAAGTTTTATAAATACTCTGTGCTGATTCCTTGCTGGGAGTTGAGGGGTTGGGGGGACACCTAATTACAAATTTGGACATAGTACCTGGATGTGAATCCTGACTCTGCTCTTTACTAGTTGTTTAACTCTGGGCAAGTAACTTAACTTCATTTATAAAACAGAAGTAATATTACCTACCTTATAGGATTATTTTGAGGATTATATGATAATGCATAAGAAGTTACTTAGCACAGTGCCTGGCACATAATAAACGCTCAATAAACCTTAGCTGATATTATTACTAATAGTATGTGGCTGATTTTATTTATAAAATGAAGATCCAAGTTTGTAGTTAGGCTTACTTAACATTTTTCTCCACTACCCATTCACTAACAAACTTCTCTCTATTTAAACAAATATTTATTAAATACTCTGGAGTCAGACAAGCCTGGGTTCAAACCCTGACTCCAATACAGCTTGGTAATCTTCGGCAAGTTACTAATTTCTTCATGTTTGTTTCCTCACCTGTAAATGGGAATAATGTTAGCACTTACCTTCTGGGATTGTCATAAGGATTAAGAGTTTCTATAAAGCTGTAAGTACAGTGTTACCTATTGTATTAAGTCCTAGGTACTCTAGAAATAAGTTGAGGTAGAATATATAGTCAATTTAATACAACATTGTACATAACAATGTGTCAAGCACTATAAGATGCAAGCTTGGGAAATCATAATTCCTGCCTTCAAAAGTTCAGATGGAAGACAAAATATATATATAAAGTGGTAAGTCTTATTACCAAAGCTATCCATTTATCTATAGACAGACACGTAAACACAAACATACATATATGTATGCATATATACATATTGTATATTCATTTTACTATATTTATGTGTAATACATATACATACAGATATTAATCTGTGTGTACATAACAGATGTATATCTGTATGTATATATATTACACATAAACATGTAATAAAATGAATATACAATCCATGTAGGATAGAGTAGGGAAATATCTGCATTTTTGGATGCGTTTGACCACCTGTATTGTAATCTATTTATTCAACAAACATTTAGCATGTCTGCTGAGTGTCAGATGCTATCTTAAGTATTAAAAATACAAATATAGATCAGACGGTCTACCTTTAAAAAACTTAATCTAGTGTACTGCCACTAGAGTCAAAAAAGAGGAAAGATCGGCTATACGTCCAAAAGAAACCCAGTTCGAAAGCCCATTACTCAAACGAAATCTTCCCAGCCAAGAATCCACACATTACCTTAGACCATCTAGGAGATCTTCCTCTGATTTGGAAGCACATAAACTGGAAGAGGATTCCGGAGGACTGGGGGCATTGGCCACGACGCCAGCTACTTCAGACGCGGCCATCATGCTCTGTGCATTCAGAAACAAATTACAGGCTACAAGTTCCAAATTCTTAAAACAAATGTCTTTCCCCCTCAAAAGGTCAACACAACAGAGTTGTTCCAGAAAAGAAACACAAAGTTGGGCTCCAGGAGAAAACACCTAAGAGTATTCTAAAGTAGGGCATTAATACAGCCATTGTATGCAGTTAAGTAGTTCCCAATAGACATCGATCCTCAGGAATCACCATATTTATACAAATATCTAGGGGTCTGCACAAAGCTTTTCAACTTTTGGCAGAAATGCCGTAATTTACAGTAGACTAATCTGTGAGAATCTTTCAAACGATCCAGATACTTACCTTACCTAACGCATTTTTTTTTTTTTGCCATAGTATCAACAATATCCTGTTTTTAAATCACTTTATGGCATTCTTCATTAGTTTTAGAAGTTGTGAGGAAGTGTTTGCATGTGAGAGAAAAAAGCAATATTATATTGGGCAATCCAAGTATCTTTTACTATCAGTGTGCATCCCACTAATGAAAAACTTTTGATAAGCACTGACTGAAGAAAGTAGACTCTATAGATACTACAAGGGAGTATGACAATCTTGGTTACGCTAGTATGAAAATGAGCTGAAAAACAGGGTAATCCAAGTAAAGGAACTGGGAGATTACTTTCTTACATCAAAAAGTCATCCTTTATGTTTCAGGACAAACTCATGGCTTTCTATGGTGATGAGAAAGAAAAAATATATCGGGGGGGGGCGGAGTGTAACACAGGGTTAGTTTAAATTCTTGTTTTGATTTTAGTAGTAGTATAGGTACACTCTTGAACCTTCGAGAACGCATAGGGCAAGAATGCATAGGACACTGGTCTTTGTCAACACTTCAACAACAGGCCAGAGACCCCCGTGCCTCAGTTTCCCCCATTATACAAAGCTCGTCGGAGAAAATGGACCCCAAGTTGCCATTACTGCTCCCTCAAGTGCAAACATCCTGCCCCAACAGAGCCCATGGGACAGGGTAAATAAAACGACAAGGCATGGGTCATACATGCAGCTCTGCGCTACAGAGCCCAAAAGGTCGGCGGCAGGTACATCGGGCTGCGGGCTGCGGGCTGCGGCGTGGGGTGGAAAATCAAACGTGCCGAGGAAAGCACCGCATCGTAACTCGGCGGCGACCACCAGCTAGGCGGCGAGACAGGGCCTCAGGGGTTGAACAGGAGCAAGGTGGTGGTGGTGGGGGGGGAATGGACGCGAAGGGGACAATGGGGGTTAGCAGCACCGAGTGGACACGGCTGCCTTCTACCAGAAGACTAGCTAAGCTGGCCGCTCCCGCCAGCCAGAGCCCCTATGCACCTTCCCCTCGGCCCGCCGA